TTTTAAAATCTAGCAAAAGCCTAAGTTCCAGATGCATTTTCTTTCTTTTGGTTTTTAATAAAGTTTACCTTTTTTAAAAACAGGATTGGATTTTTGGTGTCTGAAGACGTTTGTGCATGTTGTTTGATTAGCTGTGGCTTCCAGCTAATCTCCTTTTTTCCTTTCTCAGCTCTTTCCTGGAGGGAGGGTGAAAGGGCTTGAGGGCACCCCATAAGGAGGAATTCCCAAGTGCTCCTTCCTGGGTTCAAAGGGGGTTTTGTTGCATTTGGGTGGTGGCAGCGTTTACCAAGCCAAGGTCAGAGAAAAGCTGTGACCTTGGGAGTTTAATACAAGCCTGGAGTGGCAAGTATTAATTTTTAAAATCCTTGAGGGCCCCACTTCTGCACTCAGAGTGACAGAGTTGGGATTCAGCCTTGACAACCTTTTATTATGGTATTTTTTAAGAGGCGTAAACTATATGTATACCCCAAATGCCCCCCAACCCCCCAAAAAGGAAAAAAAAATCAGGACCACCAAAAGAATGTCACCATGGTTAAATGGAGTAAAAAGCAGTTAGAGACAAAAAGTCATCCTTTAAAAACTGGAAGTCAAATCCAACTGAGGAAAATCAAAAGGAGCACAAATTCTGTCAAATCAATTGTAAAAGTTTCAGAAGGCAGGCCAAGACACAAACTAACAGCAATATTTTTTAAAGTACATCAAAAGTAGGAAGCCTGTCAAACAATCAGTGGGGCCACTGAACAATCCATGTGCTAAAGGAGCAGTCAAGGAAGATAAGGCCATTGTGGAGAAATTAAATGAATTCTTTGCATTAGGCTACACCGCAGAGGATGAGAGAGAGATTCCCAAACCTGAGCCATTCTTTTTAGGTGACAAATCTGAGGAACTGTCCCAGACTGAAGTGTCAGTAGAGGAGGTTCCGGAACAAACTGATCAATTAAAACAGTAGTTAGTCACCAGAACCAGATTGTATTCACCCAAGAGTTCTGAAGGAACTTAAATATGAAATTGCAGAACTACAACTGTGGTAGGTGATCTGTCACTTAAATCAGCCTCTGTACCTGATGACTGTGGATAGCTAAAATAATGACATTTTTTAAAAAAAGGCTCCGGGGCAGTCCTGGCAATTACAGGCCAGTAAGCTTAACTTCAGTACCAGGCAAATTGGTTGAAACAGAATTATTGGACACATAAATGAATACAATATGTTGGGGAAGAGTCAACATGGGTTTTGTAAAGGGAAATCATGCCTCACCAGCCTGTTAGAATTCTCTGAGGGTGTCAGCAAGCATGTGAACAAGGGTGATCCAGTGGCTATAGTGTACAGTACTTAGATTTTCAGAAAGCCTTTGACAAGGTCCCTCTCCAAAGGCTCTTTAGCAAACAAAGCAGTCCTGAGATAAGAGGGACGGTCCTCTCATGGATCAGTAACTAGTTAAAAGATAAGAAACAAAAAGGTAGGAATAAATGGTCAGTTCTCGCAGCAGAGAGAAGTATATAGCAGGATCCCCAAGGATCCGTATTGTGACCAGTGCTGTTCACTGTATTCATGATCTGGGGAAAAGGGTAAACAGTGAGATGGCAAAGTTTGTAGACAATACAAAATTACTCAAGAGTTAAGTTCAAAGCTAACTCCAATAAGAGTTACAAGGGGATCTAACTAAACTGGGTGACTGGGCAACAAAATAGCAGATGAAATGCAAAGTAATACACTCTGGAAAACATAATCCCAACTATACATACAGTATGGTGAGGTCAAAATTGTCTGTTACCACTCAAAGATCTTGAGGTTATCATGGATAGTTCTCTGAAAGCATCTGTTCAATGTGCAGTGGCAGTCAAAAAAAGCTAACAATGTTAGCCACCATTAGGAAAGGGATGGACAGACAGACAATATCACAACGCCACTATATAAATCCACCTTGAATATTGTGTGCAATTCTGGTCACCACATCTCTAAAAAAGATACATTAGAATTGGAAAAAATACAGAGAAGGGCAACAAAAAAACTATTGGAGTATGGAACAGCTTCCATATGAAGAGATTGGGATTGTTCAGCTTTTTCTGAGCCACCCCATGTGCATGCCCAGCTTGGCAGGTGAAGCCCTGTGTCTGGGGGCACCAAGGCTAGAAAGAGGGCATGGCATCAGGGGACAAGCTGAGCGAGCACAGCCTGTCATTGCTCATCCACCCAAAAGTTGGGCCCACCCAAATTTTCACTCCTAGCTACGCCACTGATGGACAATCAGCCTGTGGAACTCATTGCCAGGGGATGTTGTGAAGGCCAAAACTATAACTTGATTCCAAAAAGATTAGATAAGTTCATGGAGAATAGGTCCATCAGTGGCTAATAGCCAAGATAGTCAGGGACAGAACCCCATGCTCTGGGTATTCCTAAACCTCTGACTGCTAGAAGCTGGGACGGGACGATAGGAAATGGATCACTAGATAAATTGCCCTGTTCTGTTCATTTCCTCTGAAGCATCTGGCACTGACCACTGTTGGAAGACAGGATACTGGGCTAGATGAACCATTGGTCTGACCCAGTATGGCCATTCTTATGTTTTTATTTATAAATTCACTATTTTCTCAACCTACATCAGCTTTTTAGACTAAAAGCAAATCTTAAATCAACTGTGGAAACAAGTGGATGTTAATTAGAAGAATCTTTTAGATTGAGAAAACAGGCTGACATATCAAGAGGATCAATATTTGAAGCCTGCAGCGTGTTTGCAGAAATATTGTAATATGGGCATTGACAAAATCATGCCAAGTTGTCATGACCCAGACTGGTTTTTAGCATAAGACAAACTTTTAAAATAAACACCATAGTAACTGAATATGTATTAAAAAAAAAATAAGAGGGACCTGAAATGCAAAGGTCAGATCCAGACTTTCCAAAGGTATTTGGATCCAATTTTTTGATTCATGTTCACATCTATTTTTAAACCCAAATAAATAGAATGGAATCTGGCTCAAAATAGCACCTATCATACCCAAAAGTATTAAAAAAATGCTTTACAAACTAATACTGCTGGGCAATAACTTGCCCACAGTTTTCCCTGAATTGCTACCATATGTATCAAGTTCCAGGCTGGGGATAGTGTGTGTGAAGGAGTTCAACAAACAAAACTGTAGAGTTGCAGAAGAAACTCTAAAAGATCATCTATAGTGGCGCAGCTATAAAAAAAACTCCAGTCTTTTTATGATGGAAAGATATTAAAATAGAAACACTAAATATAAAAACAGCTTTAAAAAAAAATTAAAAACTCAATAGAAACTACAGTCCATACCCTGCCTCCCTCTCACATGCAGATCAAAGCATGTTATGAGCTGTTAGAAAACTAATTAAAAACATTTGCTGAGCTAAATACAGCATTTCAACTTCTGTATTTGAAAGTTACCTCCACTTCACAAGCGCTCCATGACAAACAAAAGGTAAAGATATGCAAATATGACTTAATTTAAAATCAATTTTCAACTTGCATATGAGTATGGAATTGATTTAAAGACACTGGAGTAGACTAGGAGGCAGGAAGGAATTCTGCTAGTGTGACTTCCCATGCTAGTATGGCTTCCCACTTTATTAATCATAGAATATCAGGGTTGGAAGGGACCTTGGGAGATCATCTAGTCCAACCCCCTGCTCAAAGCAGGACCAATCCCCAACTTTTTTTTTTTTTGGTGTGTGCGCGCCCCAGATCCCTAAATGGCCCCCACAAGGATTGAGCTCACAACTCTGGGTTTAGCAGGTCAATGCTCAAACTGCTGAGCTATCCCTCCTCCTGTATTTCTTTTGTTCAGAATGAATACTTGTAACTTTCTCCATTGAATATATATTACACTACAAAAACTCACTGCTTGTGGAAATGCAGGGAATTTCTATAATTTCTAGCACCAAGTCTCAATAGGTTCACATGTACATGTGTCTTGGGAATGCCCAATAATGAGAGAATTTTGGTAACATTGACAGACTGACAGTCTAATATACTGAACAAACTTTATGGAATTCAGAAACAAAATCAATAAGGTTAAACTTTATTGAATTAGGGTTAACACCTTTGGAGTACATTGTATAAATATATGCCATTGTGTACATGTTATCGTGGCATTGTATATACCTTCTCTAGCAGGGCAGGGGATGCTAATGTACTTCCTCTGTTATCAAGGTTCTGAAGCCACTCTCCTGGGTTTTTTGGATAAATAGCCTGGGTTTTAAACAGACTCAGTACCTTTTTCCTGACCAAAAAGGAGACAGTACCCCTGGTGCATGTGTAATGCCAAGAGACCCCAGTTGTTGGCAGGTTTGAACCAGGGACCTCTGGAGCTTAGTGCATGAGCCTCTACCGCAGGGGTAGGCAAGTTGATTTTCAGTGGCACTCACGCTGCCCGGGTCCTGGCCACTGGTCCAGGGGGCTCTGCATTTTAATTTAATTTTAAATGAAGCTTCTTAAACATTTTTAAAACCTTATTTACTTTATAATATATAACTAAACTATTGTTGTATGTAGACATAGAAAGAAACCTTCTAAAAACGTTAAAATGTATGACTGGCACGCAAAACCTTAAATTAGAGTGAATAAATGAAGACTCAGCGCACCACTTCTGAAAGGTTGCCGACCCCTGCTCTACCGCATGAGCTAAGAGCCAACTGGCTGTTAGCTAAGGCTGTAGAGCAGACTCATTTTCTCTCTCTAAGTGGTCTCGGTGCGACTAGATGGAACAGAACACCACACCCGGGAGATGTGTGGGTTACAGATGGAGGGCCCTAATTCTTAAAGAAGGGGTGGAAGGCCTACTGAGGCCCATAAGGCTGTGCTTGTTCTGAGCTGAAGCTGTGATGAATTTGTTGTGACAAGAAAACCCATAGTGTGAGGTAGGACTGCTCCTGACAGAGCCCCTATCAGAATTGGGTTGCTGTCTGGGAAGCTTATTAGCATGCATGTAGGTTATTTTACTGTTTAATAAGTTTTCTTTGTAGTGTTTTTACCTTAAAAATAAAATAGATTTGCATAAAAAGAATGGTGTGGTCACTTATCCCTGTTGACAAACTTTCTGTTATCAGTCTCTGAAGTGAAAGCAAGCAGGTGTGCTTGGCAGCCTGTCTCAGTAGAGTCAGGGAACTGTGCAGCCTGGAAATACCTGTCTCTCACTCCCTTCTGACCAGGGTATCAGCCCAAGAAAAGCAATGGCTAGGGCTCTGGAAGCTTGAGAGTGAGTGCCCTTGCCAGACCACTGTGGGGAAATACAGATGCAGTTGCCCTGACCTGTGACACAAGGTTGTGAATCACAAAGATTCGTGCAAGTGAAATTCCTTATTAATCATACTTGCCTTCTCTATATCTTCACACAGAAGATAAATACAAGAGTATCCTTCAGCCCAAGCAGCATTACTCAGCAATGGAAATCTCATCTTACCCTGTACCATATGATCATCTGGCACAGAGAATGGCCTTTCATTCAGTCTCATTCTCTTCAATCAGCCTTAAGGCAGTGGCATTTTTGTGCCTAAATCAATTTGTACCTTAAGTGTTACTTTCTGATGGAAGTAACAAAATTTATCCTCTGAGTTTAAATAAAAGTCCTAATTCACAAATTAAACTGAGCTCCACAACACACATACTCAAAGGATTCCCTTGATTCTTATGACAGATTGGTTGTTGCCTTATGTACTATTGACTACTGTTAAGCTAGTGTCCTGTAGTGTGCTTCATAGCTAGTGTGCTGTAAATTGTATGCATGCACACTTTTTCTCTCATTCTAAACTCTTATTTTAGTTTCAGTAGAAATGCCCTGAAATATAATTGTTTTATTCAACTTTTAGTTACAATTCTGTGAACTGGCTTGTTTTTTCTTATTAGCAGAGATGCCTAGGCAATTTCCAAAGCTGAACATTTCTGAGGTTGATGAGCAGGTACGGCTTCTAGCAGAGAAGGTATTTGCTAAAGTTCTCCAAGAAGAAGACAGCAAAGATGCCTTGTCACTATTCACTGTGCCTGAAGATTGTCCTATTGGGCAGAAAGAGGCTAAAGAGAGGGAACTGGAGAAGGAGTTGGCAGAACAGCATTCTGTGGAGACAGTTAAGAGGTTTGTTCAGTAGCCATTGTTTTCCTGGAAAAAAAATGTTTAAAGTGGGTTTTAGAATTACATATAGGAATACATCCCAAATGGCATGATACTCATCCATAATACTTGAACGCAGAAGCCAGCACAACCTGTGCTGTATGATTTAGAATGTGCTGCTTTATTGCACATATTCCTGGAAGTTGTAATACTGAATGCTTTGATATATACAAAGGGTCAAACTCTGGCAGCTGCTTTGCAACAAACACAGTGTCTTGAAAAGGTAAACGTATGTTGCAAGTTTTAGAGTTTACTTGCATTCAGAATGCGACGAACACAATGCACATCACCACCTCACAAACATATTGCTATTGGACCAGATCCTGAGAGGTGCTCTTCACCTGCAGTACTCTTTAAAATAAATTAGTGGGAAATTACAGGTTCTTAGCACCTGCTTGTTCTGATCCATTAAGGATGGGAATAATCTGCCCCCAGGTTGTTCAGAGAGACCATTTCAAGGTCAGGGAACATACACACATGAACAGGTGGCTTTCACACCCTTTGTAAAGCCCCTTTGTGGCTCCTGTTGCAGATGATCTGGGGAGTGTCCTAACAGAATTATGGAAGGATCCTGAGTTGGTGAGGTCATCCCCTGACATGTATTCCCAGTAATACCATAGGAATACACAAGTTCAACAAAACAGCACAGCTGGCGAGAGGCAAATACAAACTGAGATTCTTTCAGTGTAAATAAAATCAGCAACACACTTAAGGAAGCTGGGTGTGTTTTTTTTTTTGAAAACATGATTTTCCGTCTCAATGTTGAGTTTTAACACATCTAAACATTTACAGCAGTCAGGTTCAATGTTTTTGTTTTAGCTCTATAAAAATAGATGACAGCAAATGCTTGATTTTTAATCACTGAAGGAGAAACTGAAGTGTCATGGGCTCAAATGGGTTATTATTAGGGTCCCCTTAACTCGGAGATAAAGGCCATATGAGATCTAATAATAGATTGCCATCTATTAAACAAACATGAAGTTCTAAAAATACACATTCATTTTATTTTCCTTTGAGAAAAAAAGATTACTACAAATACATTATAATAAAAAACAAAGTCCGTATTTAAGTAACAGGGAAGCAAGGTAGAAAAGTGATTTAATTCTGCTATCAACATGATGATATTTGCTGAGATATTTTGGAGGTGAAGCATGAAAGTTCAGTTAGTGGGCTTCAGCAGTTGACATGGTCATAAAAATAAATTAAAAAAAAAACCCTCTACCTTGTCTTTCCATGCCTTCAAACAACCATTTGATAGAAGTTTTTCCACAAGAAAAAAAAAAAGTAACAGGATATTTAAACAAAACATATTTAATGCGGGAAAATGCCTTATAAAAATAGCTTCAATCAAGCTGTGTTTGTGTCTAAGTATTAGTACAGGCCTTATCCTGGTAAGTGGGATACTATATTTATACTGTTCACTTGTGGGGATGGGACTAGTAATCACCCTTGCCCTCAATGATTGAAGAACACTTATGGCCCAGTTCTGCCTACTAGTATAACTCCCACTGACTTCAATTCGTATTGAGTGACATTTTAAGAGGAGCTTCAGTATTGACTTCGGGGCGTGGGGGTTACACCTAAGTAAGTGAAGGTAGAATTTGGCTCTTGTATTATTTATACCACAAATTTGAGGAAGTGTTACAGAATTAATACAAATCCCCAGACATCAGTGTTTCTTCTGTTTAAGGGCTCTTATTGACACTGGATTGGAGAAGGAATCTTTAGAGGTTCTTGAAGTAGGTGCCAAGTTTTACCATTGGTCACTGTTACTAGGCAATGGTGGCTCTGTATTTGCATTACTATTCAAGTTTTCCTGTAAGGTCATTTTAAAGTTTTGGCACATTTTCTGTAAAATTATGAAGCGGGAGAAGTTTACAGCACGCAAGTCACAGGTAATTCATTATTTCAAGTATATTTTAAATGTTTAGAAAAATAAATTGCAAGTAAGCTTTATAAGGGAGATTTAATTTAGTGGTATACAAATATATCTTTTACAAGACTGATTGCTAATCAGAACATTATGCATAGCCAGTCAGTCAAACTTGTCTTAAGCAAGGGATCAGCAAACAGTTTGCCTGATGAGGTGGGCTTTACCTTTGTATTGGAAACCTCATGTGGTATTCTAAAGTGGCAATTTAAAACAGGGAGTTGATTTTGTTATACAAGTCTATTCCTGCTCTCTGAAGTAAAAGGCCAAATTCCCATTGAATATAAAGGGCATGATCCTGTTGAAGTCAATCAACTGAACGATTTTCCTCATATGGACAGAACATGCCTTTGCTACTTACAAAACACCAGAAACACACCTGTATTTTTAAATGAAACCATACCTGTCAACTTGATATGTTTCTAAACCCTGCAGCTGTCACCAAGAATCAGAAGCCGATGTAATAGCTTTTGATGGTATATAACCACTTATCTTACCCAATACACACCCACTCACATTCCTAGCTGCCATTTTATTAAGTTCTGGTGCAATAATGTTTTAAGAGTCAGAAATTTCTCAACTTCTGCTATATTAAGCACAGGTGTAGTGAACATATTTTCCACTCATTACAGTGACCTCACTCTCTCACTTGTAAGTGATGCTGCTGCAACAGCACAAAAAAAAAAAAAAAAAAACTAGCACACCAACTTCCAGTTATCTATTTTCTAAATAATCAGGGCTTATTGTGTGTGTTGTACATAAATTGCATGTAGCATGCTACAAGAGTCAGAAATATCACTGGACTAAACATTTCAAAGCTCATTTTTATAAACCAAAATTTTTGAATAATTTGAAGTCTATCATACTACAGAAAGCCTTCTAGAATGAAATACTTCTTTGCTATATAGACAGGTTTCTGATCTATAACTTTTGATACCATGAATTCCTAGGAAGAAAAGTTTCAAGATGATTCGGTCCCAGTCCTTGTCATTACAAATGCCAACCCAAGAGTGGAAGGCACCATCAGTCAGTTCACTTCCCTCTCCTGCAACTCCAGTTCTTCCAGGTCAGCCAGTCCAAGTGCCATTTACAGTTCCAGAGTTTCAGAGAGTTACAATCGGTGGGGATTACTGTGCTGGGGTAAGAAATCTGTCAATTTTTTCTTTTAGTATTCTGGGTGGGAAAGGGGGCAGCAGTGAGAATAAAGAGAGAGAGGACTTAGGCAGTGTGGAATGATTACCTATTATGGTCCTCCTGTTATACTTTGACATCTCACACTGAAGTCAATGGGGTTGTACAGGTGTGATGAGGCAGAATTTGCCCAGGTTATTTATGACTGTGTACATTAATTGGTAAGAAAAAAAAATGTAAAATATAACAAGGCATTAAATATGTGCTTTAGCATACAGAGATGGGAGGAAGAATGCTCTTGTGCTTAAAGCACTAGATTTGGACTCAACTCTTGGTTTTAACTTCTGGCTTTTTCACCAACTTCTTCTGTGACCTTGGGCAAGGCACTTAAGACCTGGGTCTTAAGTTTCAGACATAGGTGCCTAAATCCCAGTTTTAGGGTCCCTTGGTAAATGGTGCATAAATACTTAGTGTCATTGGGCGAGAGAGAAAATGACTAGTCCAGTGGTTAAGGCATCAACTGCAGAGGTGGGAGACCCAGAGTCCAGTCCCACTGCTCCACTCACTCCTTATTTATACACAGTGGAAGAGTTTCAGGAGGAGAGATTTAGGAAGCCCCATATCAGAATATTCCATAGGCCCAGAGAGCACTCTCCTGAGAGGTGAGACACCACTTTCAAATCCTCTCTATTTCTGCCAGAGAGGGGGGAATTGAACCTGAGTCTCCCACATGAGTGCTCTAACCACTAGACTAAAAATTAGTAGGTGGGCAGCAGCACAACTTCCTCCCCCCATTTTGTGTAGAGTGAGGGCAGGTGCCTAACTCATTGCCACAGGAAATGACTTAGCCACTTGACTCCAGGTGGTGGGTTCCCATTCATGGATTGCTAGCAGAGCTAGGTGCCTCTCTCCAGCCTGGACTTAGACTCCTATCTCTGTCAGAGTGCCAGGGTTTAAGACACACTTCTGTCATAGGCATCTCCATTGGCTAGCTTAGACAGTTTCCCACATGATGTGCTGTCTTTTGTGAATCACATTCTGAGGCTCCTATCTCTCCCCATTCATTGAGGTTTTTAAAGTCAGGCTTGACAAAGCCCTGGCTGGGATGATTTAGTTGGGGATTGGTCCTGCTTTGAGCAGGGGGTTGGACTAGATGACCTGCTGAGGTCCCTTCCAACCCTGATATTCTATGATTGTATGGGGAGCCTAGCCCCCTAACTTGGCTTTATGCATCACAGTGCTGCTCCTGTGATTTTCTAGACACCTAGAAGTAGGCGCCACACTGCTGAGCATTGCAATGTCTAAGTCAATTTGTGGATCCAGGCCTTAGACCCAAATCCTATTAAGGCTTCCACTTCTGGAAATAAAAATCTTGTTATTGCCCAAGTGGGTTCAAATGAATGACAAACTGACTTTTAATAGATGCTCCTGTTTCTCTTCCATCAGTATTTATACAGCTTCTCTTTTCAGGTCACAGTTGATGATTACGAACAGGCTGCGAAGGGCCTGGTGAAAGCTCTGCTAATTCGAGAGAAGTATTGTCGCCTTGCTTACCATCGCTTTCCAAGAACAACATCACAGTATTTATGCACTATGCAAGATGAAAAATGGAAGATGGAAGATGAAGTATGTCCAGGTACAATAGGTTCCCTTCAACAACAAAAAAAAGACCATCATACTGTAGAAAACATTTGATTTCTGTGATTATTTCTATTTAGAATAAAAAGGCTACATTCTGTTTTCCAGTCTGAATAAGCAAACACTAGATAGGGACTCAAGCTGCAAAGTTCATTCTGAATTTAAATTTTCCTGAAGTTCAGGCAGGTTTGGATGTGGGATTTTGGTCTGGAATAACCTCTAATTTAAACAAACGCACGCCCCTAACAACACACTAGAATTCCAACATTAGGGTTGTGAAGGAGGCCAGTCCTTTGGACCTGATTTTATGGACCACATATTTATTTTACATCCCTGGAAATATGAGAGTATATTGTTAAATAGCCATAAACGTATGAGAGGCTTAGTCTTTGTTGTACCTAGCCACATCCTCAGCCATGAGCTTGGCTGGAAAAGAGATATTTAAATGGTTGTCCTCTCCTGTAGTGGCAGGGAGGAGGAAGTTTATATGTCCTCAAGTACAAGGTTTTATATTAAAAAGGAAACTTTTCTGGGAAGAGTAGAAATATGCTTAATATTCAAGAGAAGATAGATGACATTTGTGAGAATTTCTAGGCTAGTTGATGAGACATCATGGCTGTCTAGATGCAAGAGAAATCTTATTTGAAAACAAGTTTCACATTGTTATTTCTAAGGTATTAGTAATTAAGTAAAAAGATTATTTTAGAGAGACATTGACAACTTAAATCACAAGCTTAAAATCAAGTATTTGAGTAAGTTGTATCCAGGTGGTTGTGAATTTGAATATCTATTTACTGTTGAGACACTTCTGGTATCAATTCACAGCACATATCGTCAGGTGCTGTAATTTCAGCAAAGAATGGCAAGGATGTGGTAACTTCCCTTTCTTACCTAGTCTGTTAAGCCAAGACTGAATGCATGATCTTGTTATCATTCAGACTACTTAGTATTAAGTCCAGACATGGTTTAATTGGTTTAGGTCAGCTATAGCTGAGGTTGCAATACACTGTATGCTAGTTACACACTAAGAGAGGGTATGATCTAATCACTAATTAGTGATGGGTAAGGCTAAGATTTTGTCATGGATATTTTTAGTAAAATCATGAACAGGTCATGGGCAAAACAGAAAAATTCATGGAAGCTGTGACCTGTCCCTAACTTTTACTAAAAATATCCCTGATAGAGTGGGGATCTGCCACGTATGGAGCATATTCATCACAGGGTGAAAGTTTACTGCACCTACTGTCCCTGAAAGAACTCAAATGTGAAGTTGCGGAACTATTAACTATGGTTTGTAACCTGTCCTTTAAATCGGCTTCTGTATCCAATGTCTGGAAGATAGTTAATTTAACACCAATATTTAAAAAGGGCTCTAGAGGTGATCATGGAAATTACAGACCGGTAAGTCTAACGTCAGTACCGGGCAAATTAATTGAAACAATAGTAAAGAATTAAATTGTCAGACACATAGAAGAACATAAATTGTTGGGCAAAAGTCAACATGGTTTCTGTAAAGGGAAATCATGTCTTACTAATCTCTTAGAGTTCTTTGAAGAGGTCAAACAAACATGTTGACAAGGGGAATCCAGTGGACATAGTGTACTTAGATTTCCGGAAAGTCTTTGACAAGGTTCTTCACCAAAGGCTCTTGCATGTATTAAGTTGTCATGGGATAAGAGGGAAGGTCCTTTCATGGATTGAGAACTGGTTAAAAGACAAGGAACAAAGGGTAGGAATAAATAATAAATTCTCAGAATGGAGAGGAGTAACAAGTGGTGTCCCCCAAGGGTCAGTCTTAGGACCAATCCTATTTAACTTATTCATAAATGATCTGGAGAAAGGGGTAAAAAAAGTGAGGTGGCAAAGTTTGCAGATGATACTAAACTGCTCAAGATAGTTAAGACCAAAGCAGACTGAAGAACTTCAAAAAGATCTCACAAAACTAAGTGATTGGGCAACAAAATGGCAAATGAAATTTAATGTGGATAAATGTAAAGTAATGCACATTGGAAGAAATAACCCCAACTATACATACAATATGATGGGGGCTAATTTAGCTACAACGAATCAGGAAAAAGATCTTGAAGTCATCGTGGATAGTTCTCTGAAGACGTCCACACAGTGTGTAGCGACGGTCAAAAAAGCAAACAGGATGTTAGGAATCATTAAAAAGGGGATAGAAAATAAGACTGAGAGTATCTTATTGCCCTTGTATAAATTAATGGTATGCCCACATCTTGAATACTGCGTACAGATGTGGTCTCCTCATCTCAAAGTTATACTGGCATTAGAAAAGGTTCAGAGAAGGGCAACTAAAATGATTAGGGGTTTGGAACGGATCCCATATGAGGAGAGATTAAAGAGGCTAGGACTTTTCAGCTTGGAAAAGAGGAGACTAAGGGGGGATATGATAGAGGTATATAAAATCATGAGTGATGTAGAGAAAGTAAATAAGGAAAAGTTATTTACTTGTTCCCATAATACAAGAACTAGGGATCACCAAATGAAATTAATAGGCAGCAGGTTTAAAACAAACAAAAGGAAGTTCTTCTTCACACAGCGCACAGTCAACTTGTGGAACTCCTTGCCTGAGGAGGTTGTGAAGGCTAGGACTATAACACATTTAAAAGAGAACTGGATAAATTCATGGAGGTTAAGTCAGTTAATGGATATTAGCCAGGATGGGTAAGGATTGGGGTCCCTAGCCTTTGTTTGTCGGAGGGTGGAGATGGATGGCAGGAGAGAGATCACTTGATCATTGCCTGTTGGGTTCACTCCCTCTGGGGCACCTGGCATTGGCCACTGTCAGTAGACAGGATACTGGGCTAGATGGACCTTTGGTCTGACCCAGTGCAGCCATTCTTATATTCTTATGCTCACTTATCTCACTGCACGACGTGATGCAGGAGCAGGGCCGGTGCTACCATTAAGGCAAACTAGGCGGTTGCCTAGGGCGCCAAGATTTGGGGATACCAAAAAGCGGTGCCCCCAATTTTTTTTTTTTTACAGCGTTCCAGGGCCGCTCCACTTCTCCCGCCTCCCAGGCTTGCAGTGCCAATCAGCTGTTTGGCGCCGCAAGCCTGGGAGGGAAGGAGAATTAGAGCGGGGGTGGCGTGCTCAGGGAGGAGGCGGAGCAGAGGTGAGCTGGGGTGGGGAGCTGACGCACGGCTGGGGGTGAGGGGCGCAAGATGGAAGTTTCGCCTAGGGTGCGAAACTTCCTTGCACCGGCCCTGTGCAGGAGGAGAGTGTATCCTATTCCTTTCTGACTGATGTATCAGTATTGGAACTGCTGATTCACTTGTGGTGAAACATGTCCAAAACCACTGTAACAAAAAGGTGGAATGGGACTAGTAGTCATGGAGAGGTAGTCAGTACTCAAAGATCTCAACTGTACTTTCATCCCCAATTTTTTTTTTTAAACGTCTTCTGAAATTGTATTGAGCATAGGTATACCTTGAATTATAATATGGTGGTGGTAATGCTAATAGCTTGTAAATAGGGTCCTACCAGATTCACGGCCATGAAAAACGAAATGTGAAATCTGGTCTCCTCTATGAAATCTGGCTATTGTAAGGGGTTCATGTATTGCCACCTTTACTTCTGCACTGCCTTCAGAGCTGGATAGGCACCCAGCTGTGAAGGCAGTGCCGTTGCCAGCAGCAGGGCAGAAGTGAAGGTGGCATGTTGGGGGGGGGGGAAGGAGGGGAGAATGCCGTGGTAGGGTCAGACAGCCAACCCAAGGCCTCTTTAACCCCGAGTGCTGGGCCCAGAGCCAGGGTGGGGCAGGGCTGGGGGCATCCCAGGGTGGGGGCTCCTACCATGTGCCAGGCTCCAGCTGCAAGTCCTGGCTGGGCAAGGGAGCGATGTGACTTCCTCGTCCCCAGCACAAGTTGCTCCAGGTGCTGGGTCAGACCCACCTCCAGCAACCTCTCCTGGCTGCATGAAGCCCTGCAGCTGCAGGCTGGGAGTGCAGCTGTAAAGGCAGCACTGTGCTGTTGCTGGAGGCAGAAGTCAAGGTGGCATGGTATGGTATTGCCACCCTTACTTCTGTGCTGCTGCTGGCAGTGGTGCTGCCTTCAGAGCTGGTGCCTGGCCAGCACCTGCCACTCTATGGCTGCCCAGCTCTGAAGGCAGTGCTGCAGCCACCAGCAGGGCAGAAGTAATGGAGGCAATACCCCACTCCACAATAGTCTTGCGGACCCCCCCAGCCCAACCCCATGAAATTTCATACTTAAGTATCTGAATCTGTGAAATTTCAGATTTAAAAAATCCTAAAACTGTGAAATTTACCAAAATGGACCATGAATTTGGTAAGGCCCTACTTATTAAAATAAAATAAAATCAGAACTGCATTTAATTTTAATGAAGCTGGTCAGAAAAAGCCAACTGTGCTATGACTATAGGTCCTTTAGAGTAACTACCACATGCATTTAACGGATTTCAAATCCATCTTTCATCAATCTCTCTCTTTAGAGCAGAAACAATATTAATTTATTTCTGTAACTATTTTGCCTTTCAAAATGGGTTACTTCTGACATAATTCTGACATCAAGCTTATTTCACAGATTTCCATCCACCCCCAGGAAAACTAGAGAATCCTTACAACCTTGACGATGCTCCAGGCAATTTGGATTATATTGTCAAAATGCAAGGAGGCATTCTCTTTGTTTATGAGAACAAAGAAATGATGAAACTCAATGAGCCCCGGAGTCTACCATATCCTGATCTGGAGACCTACACACTTGACCTCAGCCATGTTCTTGCTCTGACTGCAGATGGTCCAATGTATGTATGTTTACTACCATGCTTTTCCAAAGAGCTGGTAATACAGATCAGCGGCAATTTCTTGTGAGACTGCTCACGTTCAAAGCATTTGCTTTACATCTGTTGAGTGTCTTACCATCCATGGGTGGGATATACAGTGAAAAATGCCTTACAATGAACAGAAAAAACGAAGAAGTGAAAGCAGTATCCCTCTAAAGGTGTGTCTTTAGCCTCTGGATGCTAGGCATAGTGAAGGGTGAACGAGTTTACATAAAACACATTTCAGGCCAAATCTGACTTGAACCTTTAGAAATGTGGGAACCAGAACTTTGCATGTCACCATTACTATATAATTGGATTATCAGCTTTCTTGTTGAATAATGAAGATTTGTGCATTTGATGTTAAAAAAATTAAATGCAGTAGTTAAGTCTTCAGTCAGGAGCACTTGAGCTCACATTAGCCTCACGGTGCCCCAATATTGGGAAAAGAGGGGCACTCCAGTGGATACTGCTCCCTAGAGTCTCAGATGTGGACTCTGAAACAGAGTAGTAGTCTGGGTTATCCTACCAAGCCATTTGCCTGCCTCACAACCACCACATGCCCTAGATCCTCTCCCTTTAAGGGAGGCCAAATCCTTCACAAGTGACAAGCTAGCCTAGCTTGAGAGTGAGTGAGATTTTCATGGAGTAAAAAATTAAAATAAGAGCAGTTCTAAACCCTTCCTTCTGGCAGGGTACATGTTGTCACTTTAAGCAAGCCAAAGAGAGAAACAGTCCAAACCCTTTCTTCAGGCTAAATTTTAGAGTTTCTGTTGAAACCCACATTTACCAGACTGAAAACAGGAACAAGCGCCCCAGAGCCTTTTCACTTCTTCAGACTAGGCTTTTCCACACTGACGCCCACCCCAGCCTGAACACAAACCAACCACAAGAAAGTCTTCCCAGTAACCAGCATAAACTTTCCCTTAGCCTAACTACACTAAACCATCTCTGCATTGCAGGCACCTGCCTTGCTGGCCCTTATCTCCATTCCAGGTTGGACTGCTGGCAGGATGACAAACTGCAGTTGGCTGAGTGCTGGCCATTAACCCTTGCCACCTTAAATCTCCTCACCTACGTTCCCGACTATCCCAGGCCTGACAGTGAGCAAACGTGTTCTGCTTAATGTCAAATTCACTCAGACATCATGGATTCACTGACTACAACACTATTCGATTTGTGTTCCATTGAGGAAAGACTTATAAGAGTAGCAAAAGAGAAGGTGTCATGGAGCAGAGAGGACCCCCCTGACAGTGAGGGGGTTAAGAAGGCTGACAGGCTCCTCCCTGGTAGGAAGGTTTTAAGAAAAGCTTGTGGACCTAGTTGGCCCTGCTCCACTACACTTGCAACAAACATGAGCTGTGGAGAGGGCAGATAAGAGAAGAGGACCTAGCCCACTTCAGACCTGCCAAGGGAAAAGAACAGAGCTCTAGTTCTTTTGGTGGGAGAGAAGCCTGGGTGCAGTCCTGAGATGGTGTTTGCTTGCCTGCTGGATCAGCTCTCCAGGAAGGGATGTACAGATCCTGGGAATGGATCTGTGGAAGCCCAGACTGGAAGCAGGGTCCCACAAAGTTTCAGTGCCCTGAAAGGGATAGGACTAAAGTGCTCTTTAGCTGCAGGGTCAAAGCCCCACTACCCTGACTTCAGAGACAGATACCTGCGGTGGGAGGGAGTTGTGCCCTGAAGGCCATAAGGGGGACTGTCCTGGCAATGGCGTTACAGAAGGGCTAGTTATTAAACAGACACACTTTAGAAATACCATAAATTAGGCTTGACAAATGGTGCAGAGAAAAAACATCGGGGTAAACAGAACAAGAAAAAAAGTGGAGTAGAGAGGGTGAAATTGAAGCAATTTGAGAGAGTGAAAAAACAGAAGATAAGACTCAAAAAGAAGCAAAAGACAGTGATAAAATACTGGTAAATACATATACCATCTATAAAGGCACCCAAAACTTAAATCACATTCACAGTAGATCATATCCTGAGGTATAACTATTCTGGTTGAAAATAACCTGTGTTTCCATGTTGTAATAGTTTTGTTTACAGCTTGCTTCCATTGTGTAAGAAGGTGGTTTGCTTGTGCGATGGTGATATTTAGCATCTGAGTGGTAGCATTTGTTAGGTAATACATTTTACTTTTTTGTACTACCCCGCCCCCCCAACAATCATGTACCAAACTGAAAGAACTAGAAATTCCACAGAGGTACAGTGATGAAATAAAATATTACAAGTTAAAAATAGCATGCAAAAAGGGGGTAAATCATGGCCAGATACATTCCTTCAATGTCCTTGTAGTTCTTGGCGATTACAAAAACAAAACAAAAAAAACTTCCCAGCACATTCTGTTAGTGTTTTATTAACTGGCTTCATATTTGGTATCAAATCAAATTTAGGGCTTAATTGGTAACCACAAAAATCAAGTTTCAGAGTGGTAGCCTTGTTAGTCTGTATCAGCAAAAAGAACAGGTACTTGTGGCACTGATATAATGATATCTAGCCATTTTCATCCATAGATCTCTGATAAATCGCATGTCTGGGACTTATTAAAATATGGATAAATCTAATGGCTGTTTCACTCAAAGTAATTTACACTCTTAAAACTTAAAATCTGAGTAGTTTGATCATAATTAAAACATCATCTCTCTTTTGCAGAAAAACATATTGCCACAAACGACTTAACTTTTTAGAATCGAAATTCAGTTTACATGAGATGCTAAATGAAATGTCTGAATTTAAAGAACTGAAGAGTAATCCCCACCGAGACTTTTATAACGTGAGAAAGGTAAGTGTGAAAGGGTTTATTAGCATGCTACAGTCTTTGTGCTGGAATTTTCAGTTGTCCCCCTTTAGTCTATGTCATTCACTACAACCTCTGTGTGAAATATAGATGGAATGAACAAGATGCTCTGTAAATACCACACACACACTAAACATTTAGATTACAGGCTAATATTCCAATATAGTATTTTTTTTAAACAAAGCTAAACACATTTTATTTATAAACGTAACCCTTCATTGATGGCCCATTGCAGCCTCAGCTCAGAAACCTTCTTGCCTTAGGGAAGTGACACACTCAAAACTCTGAAGGCCAAACTCTGGGCTCAATCCTCAACTTCACTGAGATTCCTCTTGGTGCAGTGAGTTCTGTGCCACCTTTCCACTGTCCTGATCCTGAGCTAACCAGGAGCTGAAACAGCTCTTGGTGCAACTTAGAGCAGCTAATAATCTGATGGAGTCATGTGCACTTTGTCCCAGTCCCTCCTGCTCATGGCACATTTGCTCTGCAGTACTCTGCCCCTAACATAGCCCTGTGTGGAAAGGATAGGCTGGGACATTGAACCAACTATGCTGGCTTTGCCCTCCAAAGAATTCCTTTGTGTCAGAGGGAATCCTTGGCTGCTCCTTTAGGACAGCTTCCCAGCTGCTTGACACAGCCTCAGCAGTGTAAAGCAGCCAGAACTGGGGCCAAGGATTGTGTCCTGTGTCCTCAGATGTGCATGTTGACCTCATGGATTTTAATGGGAGTCTTGTCATAATATGACCTGGAGGGTTTTATCTAATGAATTAAACAGAAGCTATATGGGCACATCCATGTACAGGATTTGGCCATAAAAATACTGCAAGAGGTTACTTCAATGCAGCCATTGAATATACACTTAAACTGAAAGGTAGTAAAAACAGGTTTCATTGTCATACCAGCTAACAATACTTGTTATCTTCTCGTTGTGGTTTTCTAAATGCTGTGACATCTGTCCTCTGGTCTAACTCCATGTTAGGTCACTAGGTTCATAACAGTTTAGTTTAGCATTTTCCCCCAGGTCCTACTTTGGTTCTGCCATAAGACATGGATGGATTTATTATAGATTAGGAACAAATTTAAGGCTTGAAATAAACTGAGTTTATTATCTGGTTGGAACAGACCATTTCACCAATCCCTCCCTTTGCAAGTCCAGACCTAGTTCTTATCTTCTCCACTGACAGATTGCACACACCCCATTCCTGTGTAGGACTGATAACGGCAAAAGAAAATGAGCCAGCCTGGGGGAAAAAAAACTGATACCAGTAACGTTGCTCAGTTTCATAATATATTTATTTCAGACTGTGCTACTGAAGTCCAAGTGTGGCTAGCGTAGTCAAGGCATACGAGGAAGGAAGGCATATTGAAATGCAGAGATGTGGTTTGGGACTTACAGTTGAATTCTCTTAAATGAATGATTGAGGAACTGTGCCTATAGCAAAGCATATCTTCCACTTCGTGTAATCAGGTGCATCAAAGACAAATGTGCTGTTCACAAGTATGTTTGAACAAGGGATCAGCAGTAAACAGAAATGGGGATGATCTTTGCCAGAGGCAAGGAAATCCACTCCTTTAAATTCAAAAAGATTGCCAGTTGTATTTTTAGACAGCCTGGATGTACTTACGGAATCGCCTGTTTACTGCTGAACAGTAAGAAAGTGTTATAGGTCTGTGCTAAGCAATAGAGTATCATTTTTCAAGTTCAGTACATATGCTCAGTAGTCAGCCTCAAATTTTATAAGTGGACTCTCCACTGCATTAGCCAAGACATCACTGAAAATATTGACGAGTACCAGATACAGGACATACCTCTGCAAGATCCCACCAGATACATCCTTCCAGTTTGACAGTGAACCATTGATAACTACTCTTTTAATATGAAACAGAGGGTCCTGTGGCACCTTTAAGACTAACAGATGTATTGGAGCATAAGCTTTCGTGGGTGAATACCCACATGCGTCTGACGAAGT